GGATCCCTGTCCAGTTGATTGGCCAGGTAGCTATCTTCCAAATTTGTTGGCAGAGATGAGTGAGCACTTTAGTACTGCATCAGTTTGTTGAAAGATTTCAATTTGCATTCCGTCAGTTCCTGGAGGCTTGGCTGTCGCCAGTGGCTTCGGTGCACCTTGGACTTCTTCCTTCAGTACCACTGGTTCTTGGTGGTATGTTACCTCTTGAAATAGCTGAACATCAACAATTTCTTTTCAACACAATGACTCTGGGTATTCCTTCCATTCCCTCCATCTTGTTTTGACCATAGAATCCTTCCGTAGTGCAAACTGATGCTTGATTTCCTCCTCCCCCCACCCCCCACCCCAGTTTGAGAAAGGCTGAGCGTGTTCTTCTTCCCTTTTGATTTTCTAACTCCAGGTCTTTTCACATTTCATTAAAATACTTTGTCTTCTTGAATTGCCCTTTGGAGTCTCTTCTAACAGTCCTTTTGTGGGGTGTTTGTTTTTTCTTTCCTCTATTGTTAATGACCTGTAGTTTTCTTCCTGTATGATGTACTCGATACAATCCCACAATTCTTCTGGTCTTCAGTCCATTAGTGTCTAATGTATTAAATATGTTCTTGAGATGGTCTCTAAATTCAGGTGGGGGAGTTGGTCTCTAAATTCAGGTGGGGGAATTGAGATGGTCTCTAAATTCAAGGTCAAGGTTTTGTCTCTTGTGGACTTGTTTTCATTTTCTTTAGCTTTAGCCTGAACTTGCATATGAGCAGTTGAGGTCTGTTCCACAGTCTTTCCTGGCTTTGTTTTGGCCGATGACATGGAGCTTTTGCACAGTCTCTTCACATAGATGTTGTCAGTTTGATTCCTGTGTATTCCATCTGGTAAGATCCATGTTTTATGTTGTTCAAAAAGGGTATTTGCAATGAAGAAGCCATTGGTCTTGCAAATTCTCTCATGTGATCTCCAGCGTCTATCTTCAAGGCCATGGTCTCCAACCACTGACCCTTCCTCTTTGTTTCGGACCTTTGCATTCCATCACCAGTAATCATCAGTACATCTTGATTGCATGTTTGATCAGTTTCAGACTGAAGATGTTGGTAGAATTCTTCAGTTTCATCCTCACTGGCTTTAGTGGTTGGCACATAAATTTGAGTAATAGTGGTATTAACTGGGCTTCCCTGTAGGTGTGTGGATATTATCCCATTACAAACAGCGTTGTACTTCATGACTGATCTTGATATGTTCTTTTTGATAATGAATGTAATTTCATTCCTGGCATAGTAGACCATATGATTGTCAGACTCAAAATGGCCAATACCAGTCCATTTCAGGTCACTAATGCCTACGATATTGATCTTTATGCATTCTATTTCATTTCTGACAACTTTCAAGTTTCCTAGATTCATACTTCGAATAGTCCAGCTCTTCCCCAATCATATTCTGAGTGCCTTCCAACCTGAGGGGCCATCTTCTGGCGCTGTAGCTGACAATGTTCCACTGATGTTCATAATGTTTCCAGTGGCTAAACATTCAGAGGTAGTCTGCCTTTTCTTCTTCCTAGTCTGTCATAGTCTGGAAACTCCGCTGAAACCTGTCCACCATGGGTGACCCTACTGGTGTTTAACGTCACAGCAACATGCAGACAACCACTGTGTGACAAACTGACAGATGAAGAGCAGTACACACCTGGTAGATTTGAACCACCAATCCAGTGCTTATCCTACAGCACCACACTAGGACATTCACTCTTAATCGACCAGCACTGGACTGCAAACCCCAAGGTCAGCAGTTCAAGCCCATCCAGCCACTCCACAGGAGAAAGATGAGACTTTCTGCTCCTGTAAAAATTAAGTCTCAGGAGCCCTTTGCAGAGTTGTGATGAATTGGAACCAATTCCATGGCACTTAACAACAATCCCACCACGACCCTGATCTGGTGTGTGGAGATTCCCACGGGTGTAGCATGCAACACCTTCATCTCGCATGGGATAAAAGGAGAGAGAAGTAAGCTGAGACAGAGGTACCAACTACATCAGTCAGCATGCAGGAGCTGGGAGTAGAGTGCGTCCTTGGACCTGCACCAGGGAACTCCTGGATCTAGGGCAGGATGGGGGCTAAGATGTACGGTCATCTCCGGGGAGCGCTGGGGGAAGACGAGGAGGGCCTGCCCTGGAGCCGGTGCTCAGTTTGGACTTCAGGCCTCCTGGGCTGTGGGATAACACATCTGTGGTTGGCAGAGCCGTCCACGTGTGGTATTTCTATTGGGGCAGCACTAAAGGCCTAAGGCAGGGACTTCACAAAGTTCATGGGAAATGGACTGGATTTGTCCATGAACTTTTGAAGCCAACTTCTTGTTTTACATTTGCTTATAGTTGTTGTTACTAAATCCTGAACGTTCAGTTGGTTCCCACTCAGAGCGACCCCGTGTAGTTCCCAAGGCTGTAAATTTTCACAGAAGCAGAATGCCACATGTTTCCTATGTGAAGCAGTTGGTGGGCTCGAACCACCAACCTCGTGATTGGCAGTCCAGTGCTTACCCTATAGTACCATCGTGCTCCCTTGGTAATAGCAGGACAGTCATACTAAAACCACAGTTCTGTTGGTCTCATGAATTATTCGTGGTCACAAGAATTTACTTGGATTTTCAAACCCACACTGGTTTTGGTTGTTTTTAAAACCTTGCCTTGAGTTTCGGAGCAAGTTGACTTTTCCAGACAGTGACTCGCACCCGGCTTGTCGCAGCCCCCGCCATGTGTCAGCGCTCCCCCAGTGCCTCCCGGCCTCCTCATCTCTGATTTGTAGCAGAGGCCGCTCCTCTGGGCTCCTGCCGGTGATTGTTCTCATGAGCGCACTCTTCAGGGGTGCAGCCCGTCTACCAGCCGCTCCTCAGACACCCAACACGGGAGCTATCAGCTGGAACCGGCTTGACGGCTCTTCCCAACAACAACTGCTACTTGACTGGCAGGTGGTCACCATGAGTGTCTTTTCAGTGTGAAGTTTGAAAGTGTCTCAGGGTGTCAGTCCTCCTTTTAGACCAGTACGTCTGGTCTATTTTTTATAGATTTGAGTTTTGTTCTACATTTTGACCCATTCTAACTCGGACCTTCTATTGTCCTGGTCAGCGTGGTCAGTGGTAGCCAGGGACCATCTAGTTCTGGCCTCAGGCCAGAGGCTGTATTTCAGGTGGGCCAGCAGTCCTTTGGACTAATTTTCCCTGAGTCTTCTGTGTTCTTCAACCTCCTCCACTCCAGTAGAAAGAGACCACTCAAGGGCTTTTAAGACCCCAGCTGCTACTCACCAGACTAGGGTGTGTAGAGCATTCTCCTTAGGAACTCTTTCCTAGTCGGCTTAGATGTGCTCTGAGACTATGGTCCTAAGCCTTCAAGCCCAGTGGCTCAGTTTCGGTGTTGTAGTAGTTTCTGTACGTGTGCTCCGATGGGCTCTGTGTTATAGATGAGTATATACTCAGCGTTTCCAAATGTGCCGTCGAGATGGTTCTGACTCTCAGCAACTGTGTGCACAACTGACTGAAACATTCCCCAGTCATGCAGCATCCTCACAATTGTTTGAGCCCATCATTACTGCCATTGGTGGGGGGTCTTCATCTTTTTTGCTGACCCACCAGTTTAGCAACCATGATGTTCTTCTTCGGGGACTGGTCCCACCTGATAGTTCTATCCAGAGCACTTTGTTTATTCCTCTGGCAGCCCTTCACACTTTCAATATTCTCCAGCACCATTAACTCAAATGCATCAATTCTTCTACGGTCTTCCCTGTTCATTGTGTCCAAGTTCCACGTGTTTGTGAGGCTATTGGAAAGACCACGGCTTGGGTCAGGTGCACCTTAGTCCTCAAGCTGACACCTTTGCTCTTGAACCCTGTAAAGAGGTCATGTGTGTAAATGTACCTCCCGCCATGCCTATCTATATATGTACACGTATAGCATGTCGTTACCTGTGTGTGTACTCATGAAGTTAACTGTGTTGTTACTGGTGCTGCAGAGATCCTAACCTGTTCATGTTTGCAAGATGGGAAGTTTCCATCCGGGTCTCTGCTGGGACAGTCTCAGGCGTGGAAAGGAAGCGGAAGGGGGATTTTGAGTTGTTTGTACACTGCATTGGATGTTTTAGGAGGCACTGGGCGGCACAAACCGTTAACACACTCAGTGGCTACCCAGAAGTTTAGAGGTTCAGGGTCACTGAGAGGAGCTGCTGAAGGCCTAGGGACGTACTACCTTGACTCAGCCATTGAAGCTATGGGGCCTCAGAGTCTGCCTTCTCGCCAGACAACGGCAGCTCCATCAAGTAAACGGTACCACCTGGAGAAAGGCTCTCCTCAGAACAGTCAGCATGAGACCAAAGGGTAGCTTTTGCCTCAAAACAAAGATCAGGAGTTAGGGAGGAGCAGCAGGGAAGGACCAATGGACACTGGGAACCCAGCGTGGAAGTGGGAAGAGTGCAGCTACACTGGGGAATTGCAGCTGTTAGGAAACAAACGGATTTGCTCTGGGCATGTTCGCTCCCACAGTGAAAACCGCAGGAAATGAAACCCCTCTGAAGTCATAGTTCAGCTCTGACGCACACGCACCACCCCGCCACTGGCTAGTAACTGACCACTGCGGCCCCTCGTGTGGCTCTGCACCGCTTCCAGGCTGCCTGCTCAGCCCCTGGCAGAGACGCGGAGGCAGACTCAGAGTGAGGCGGGCTTTGTCCAGAGTCTAACTGTTGTGGAGAAGAATGAAAATCTCCCTAAGTGGGACACCAGAACGCACTGCTACATGGTCTGAGGACATGAATGTGCTGCTTTCTTGAAATACAGCCACCCCAGGAGCAAAAAGTCACAAATTCAGTCACAAAACAGGAAAGTGGGAAATACTGGCGTATTGTGGACGTTTCAGGCATAGTTTCGTAAGCACAGCTGTTGTCTTGCTTGCCTGTGGGCCTTGGGAACATTCCGCTGGAGGGAGTCTGCGCCGAGCTTTAGCCTGCACAGGTGCTGAGCGCCCCCTTGTATCGGCAGGTGTCACTGAGGAGCTGGAAAACCTGGTGCGGCGGCGCATCTACCCGTTCCTGCTGATGGTCGCTGTGCTCATGGGCATCCTGTCCTTCCAGGTCCGCCAGTTCAAGCGCCTCTACGAGCACATCAAGAATGACAAGTAAGGCCTCCACGTGGCCTCTCCTGTCACTGGGAGGGCCGGGGGCTGGGGGCTGAGGTGCCCTGGGGACCCAGCGGAGAAAGCTTCCTTCTACTGCTAATCTCAGGGTCAGAAACCCTGGAGAGGCTCACTGACTGAGTCGGGATCGACTCACCGGCAGTGGACGAGGTGGTTCAAGAAGTGTGGTTAAACTTCAGAGAGAGTGGACAGAAGTCGAAGGAGCGGCAGGGAGAGCATGGCACAGTGCCGTGGTCAGGCTAAGAGGCCACTCCAATGCTGACAGAAGACGACGGCCCGCGCTCTGGGTTCTAACCTCCCTGACGAGTCAACCTGACTCCGGACGCACACTGTCCTGTCTGTGCTACCTCTGCTCCTCTGCCCCACAGCTGCTGTCTCCTCCTGTCCCCACTGTCCTTGGGGGGGTTCCCACAATCATCTTCCCTCCAACTGCCACCGCTGCTCCCACCACCCATCTGCTGCCTGCACACCCTGGAGTCTCCCCTTGTCCCAGCATGCCCCCTGTGCCGCACCTCCACCTCACTGCGTCTGTCCGTCCTCTCACCCACCTGCCCACATATATACACACATACACACACGCTGCACCACGTCTTCCCTGCGTCTGTCCTCCTCCCCCCCCCACAGACACACACACACACACACAC